TGAGCGCCAGTAAATTCCGTGTACTCCTCGTGAGTGGGAAAGAGACGGAGCATGAGAGCCGCGGCCAGCAGCGGCCGACCGTAACGATGCACACGCTTGATTGTAAATTAAAAATGAAGGGTTTGCAATAAAATAACATCCGGAAACGCCTTAGGATTTTGTCAAGGGATGTTTGAAGAATATTTGAGAACTTTGGCAACATCAAAATTTTTAATTTTTATTGTTGTTTTTCATACTTGAAAGTGGCGATTTTCACGGTTTTTTAAACTTTGTACAATTAATATCTCGAAAAGTATTGATTTTAGAGAAAATTTGCAAGACATCTTTTTTGTTCATAATTGTCCAAAAAAGCTAAAAAATATTTTTCCAGGGCAAAATAAACAATATTTTTAATTTGTTTAAAAAATTTTGTTTAAACATTTTTCCTACAACTTTGAAGCCTGGCAACTTGCAAATTCGTTTTTAGGTGATCATTTTGCGTAAGATCATGCAAAAAAATCCTATCCAAATAATTTCTCCCACAAATTCCAGATTGCGACCCGGACTATATGAGAAATGACAATAAGAAAGTCTAGAACAGAGAATTCCTTCTGACGTATATCCATTTTGTTCAGCAGTAACAAGAGTTAGTTAAGTAACCCCCAAAAAAATTTCTATTCATTCTAGCCACGACTCGATGAGTAGATTACTTTACTTGTAATAGTGTAAATTTTAGAATACTAGCATTCATAAGCTGTTACATTTAAATCCTCATAACATTAAAAGAAGCCACGATATATTCTGAGAAAAAACCATGAGAACTATTAGTGTCTAAGACATTAGGGATAAAAGATGTATTCTAAATTGTTTGCTGTTTAACAAAACACTCTTTGACAGTTCACACACAAAAAGCCACAGATAGCAAGTAGGTATATTAGTTAACCACACTCATATGTATTGAGTACTAAAAATAAATAAGAAAGTTCAATTTCATAATTTTTAAGTGGTTGTTCAAAAATGGTCAATAAAACACTTTTCATGATAATTCAATTGAATTAATTTAACTTAAAAGAATAGAGGTAACTATTTCTCTTAAAATGTGTTACTAGACCGTTAGGTTTACAGGTTAAACCAGCTTCTTTTATGATTAACATTGTTATTTATCATTAACTTAACAAGTACAATAATTATGCAAATAAAGCTACGTTACACAATAATAGTATCACGTAGAGTGCGTATCCTAGAGCAGTTTCATGTACACAAACCTTCAGAATTGACAACAATAGTTCCTATTACTCCTTTATGAGACTGAATTCGTTTCATAGTTTCTTCGACTTCTTGTGCCTGTAATAAAAATTCAATTAATAGTGGATTTATCAATTACATCTATTTAACGGACAATGAAGTTTACGTACCATTGTTAATGGAAAAAATGTTATTTATGTCAGTAGACAATAAATGTTACTGATCTATTACTGGTACTTACAACTTACTACAAACTACTGAAATGTCAAAAATTCATAGACTATGCAAAAAATTCATCACTACCAACCATAGACACAAGAAATAAAGACTGCTCGTTCTCATCATAGACATATAAGAAATAGACTGCTCGTTCTTATGTACAGTGCTGCAGCACAAGTAGAAGGTGACACAACATCAAACGTGAATATTTGGAGCTATTCACATAGACATTTTTTGCTTATGTCATTGTGAACGTTTATATTGAAAAGGGGGTTCCACTGTTCCGCTGAACTCAAATTGAGTGAACAGACTGAGCAGACCTATGCTCTGTTCTCTGACAGTCAACATGGTTGCGACCATTCGCTCCGAGCCGATACAGAGGTTGCGCCCCCTCTAGCCAAAATCAGGCAATATTTCTTGCATGTAAACAAACGGTTTAGAACATATATACATACGTATAGCTGCTTGTGATTGGCTGAATAAGACAGCAGGAGAGGATCGTCGTTCTCTCTCTAGCTTGCCAAGTGCCAATCACAAGCAGCTGTACGTATGCATATATGTTCTAAACCGTTTGTTTACATGCAAAAAATGTTGCCTGATTTTGGCTAGAGGGGGCGCAACCTCTGCATCGGCTCGGAGCGAATAGGCTTTGTTGCCGGATGGAAAAAGAGGTATAGGTCTGTTCAGTCTGTTCACTCAGTTTGAGTTTAGTGGAGCAGTGGAACCCCCTTTTCAATATGAACGTTCACAATGACATAAGCAAAAAATGTCTATGTGAATAGCTCCTTTGTCTCTTTCGCACGTTGCCAACGGTGGGTGGTCAGTAAACTGTTACGACCTGGCTCACGGTCATACACTACGGAGACGTAAGGGGCGCTCTCCGTCCTGTGGTTTATTCCGGGTAGTGATAGTGAGTCCGTTACCGGTTAAGCACGGAAGTGCCAGGTCAATCAAATATTCCTAGGTCGTTCGCTGGATGCCTGGGAGCCTGGGTCCTCGGTAATTGGAACGAGTAGAATCCCGATGTGGTAAACACCGAGTTTATCCCAGGAGATGATGTCCGGGTATCCTGAACACACTTAGAAACGCGATTACTCACTTGAACTACCCTGATCGATCGCGAAACAACTAAAAAAAAAATAGTCACCGTAGGTTTTTAGAGAAAGGCGCCAAATTAGAGCGTCGCAAGCTTTGCCTGGAACAGAATTTGAATTCCAACTAACTGCTGCATGAAAATCCAATGCTTTTTTTACCCTGCAAGTCGTGTCAAAAGTCACGTAGGCCACTTGTTTGTCCTAGTTTGTCCTTGAATTTCTCTGGTTAAAACTATTGTTTTGGAAATCCCTTAAAAGGTATTAATGGCCGTAGACTCAAGGCCAAGCTTCTTTTGGTTGAGGTGATTAGTCATGCCGGTCGTCACGCAAGCCACTTGTTTACTCAAGAGGGCCTCTTATTCTGAAGGTCAGGCTTGTTTATGTTGGGATGAGTCATGCCATCAGTCACCCAAGCCACTTGTTTACGTTAAGGGCCTAATATTTTGAAGGCCAAGCCCGCTTATGCCTGAAACAAAAGAAAATCGATTCTCGAATTCTCGGAAAGCTTAGACATAGCTGGGAAGGTTCTTTTTTTATCGTTATTCGTGACCTTTTAATCTTCATTATCGCAATAATTATAAATTTTATTATTTCCTACTAAATATGTTTTAGTTTTGCGCCGGGCCGAGAGAGAGCACTAGTGTAGCTTATATCTATGGATAGGATAATTACCTAATAAAACTAAGTCCGGCTTAGGCCGCGGTGACATGAAGTCAAAAGAGAGGTTCGCGTATTATACATCTTTCTCAATCTTATGGGCTCAAATAGTTACGGGGTACGCGTTACGCTCTCCATGTGCCTGCGGCCTTAGGGTGCGGCACATGATGCGTAAAGTGTAAAGCGATCGCGTATCACTAAAAATCATATGATCAGGGAAAGTTAAGTAAGGTACGCTTTATGCAAAAAAATTCGTCATCGTGCACATAAGAGTGAAAAATATACGCGTAATTGTTTTTAAACCAATCACAGTTAGTATTACGTTAGCGTGATAGATGTTGTCTCGCTCGCACTCAGAGAAAAAACAAAGTTACGCGCGTATTTTTTTACCCACCATGTGCACGATGACGAATTTTTCCACGTAAAGCAAAAATAAAATACGCAACCTGTGAATACAGTCAGCAGCGAATGTCAACAACAGCAATTCAAGTGTCAATTAAATAATTAATTGGATTTTTAACTTACAATGAGATAAAAAAACCAAATCGAAAGAACTTTGGACAAATTGTAGAAAGTCTATATGACCTATCAAATGACCCAATATCGCAAAGAAAAAGTGGGAAGTGTTGTTAAGCTGTATAAAATGCATAAACAGCTCTCAAATAAAAATAAAGAAAGGAGTTACACACTGGAAATCAAAATTCAAACCTATTTTGTACCTATTTTCCTCACACATTGCGAAAAAACTTGTACGCAACTCGTGCGGGACCATTTCCCGCACTCGTGTGATAGACTCACACTCGTGGCCGGTGACGGTAACTCGTACCTTGCGATCACACTCGTGCTACGCACTCGTGTGCTCAACTGGTACTCGTTCCCGTCAACTCCGGCATTCGTGTGAGTCAATCACTACTCGTGCGGGAAATCGTCTTTTCCGCACTTGTTACATAAATAAGTATTGTTTCACAACCACTTTACCTTCTGGGAAACTTTACCTTCTATTACATAAAGTGATGAAACGAATACTGTATAAAAATATTTCTCTCAAAACCGTTGTGGTAGCTATAACTATCTAAGGTTTTCAGTAAAAATTGACAAATAAAACAATTTGAGTCACAATTCGTTTTTTATAATAGTAACAGTTCCCGTCTGAAACCATTGCGATTTAAAACCATTTTTTTACTTGAGATAAAATGTTTACTTCCACCTTTTCTTACGGCTTGCCAGGCTAAGAGCACTCTTCTCACCATTCTTACCATCACTTAGATTTGGTTTGTACATAAGTTTATTGACTAGTAGGCCAGTAAGCGCTCCGAGTCATCAGGCGATAGTCACTTGATTTATTATTTAAAATTTAATTATTTATCAGAGTGGCCAGTAAGTGCCTTGGGTAATCAGGGGATAAGCGCTCGTGTTATTATTCTTCTGAAGAAGTAATATGTAGTCACTTTTGTAATTTCGTATGTACGCACGCTTGTAAAGTCACTTATGATTTCACTTGGAATTACAAGTGTGATTTTGGAATTGGAATTCCAGATGTTATTCCAAGTGTCTTTCCATTTCCAAGCATTATTCCAAGTGTAGTTCTATTCAACATTACTTATGTGATTCCATATGAATTTTACAAGTAGAATTTTTTTTTCTTATAAATGCGAAAACCTTATTAACCTTAATCATAAATCATAACACAGCAGATTATAATTATATCGGTAAGTAAATTAACACTTGTGTAGAACTGAAATACATTAATTTATTTATACATCGTACATAATTTGTACAAGTATGCCAATTTACCATTATATACTAATAATTAAAAGGCAGGAAAGATTCGATTGCACATTATAGAAAGCTTTTACTTAAGGAACTCCTGAGATCCGGTGATTACAAATCTTCACCTAAATATTTATGACATTGTTTAATAAACTTTGAATTATAAATCAGTTACTTGTGGCAGTTGTGGCTCATTCATTCTAAATAGAATGCTTTCATTTTACTTCTTAGTTAGGATGTCAATTTTACTTTGTTAAACAATAATCTAGTTAGTAAGGTAAGCGTAAAAACCATTAAAAATTTTCAAATTTTATTTTTTTTGGAATAAAAGCTACCTACTCAGAATACTCTAAAGTTATTAATGTAACAACAGGTTCCCTTTTAACAGATATTTTCAAACTTAAGTGCAATATAATACTACAAGAACGATAATAGAAAATACTCATAGATTGCAACAATGCAAAAATTTTTTAAAAATCATTCTTTATTCGAAGACTTCTTTGCACAGTCCATTTCTCAATTCTTTTATTTTGAGAGTAATAACTTCATTTATTTTTTGCCTCAAAGCACTTCTTACCTCAGGTTTTTTGTATTTGATACTCTCAAAATTTGTTATAAGGGCTGAAAACATATTTAAACAGATACATTTACGTCACAAATATTTTGACGTTCTTATACTCAATCATTGCATTATCTCGTCTGTAACTATAATTGTAAAGTGCGGTCGAAATTGTCTTGTATTTGAATAATCATTGATGAAATAAATTTATTTCAGTTCAACACAAATGTTAATTTACTTACCGATTTAATTATAATCTACTGTGTTATGATTTATAATTGAGGTAAATAAAGTTTTCGCATTCATTAGAAAAAAAAATACTACTTGTAAATTCATGTGGAATTACATAAGTAATGTTGAATAGAACAACATTTGGAAAGACACTTGGAATAACATCTGGATCTGGAATTCCAATTCCAAAACCACATTTGTAATTCAAAGTGGAAGTGCGTACATATGAAATTACAAAAGTGATCACATATTACTTCTTCAGAAGGGTAGAGAATAATTTATTATTTAACAAAGTGGTCAGTAAGCACCTCGGGTCATCGGGTGATAAACGCTTGTGTTATGAGTCAATAATTTATTATTCAACAGCGTGGCCTGTAGGCACTGTGACGTATTTGGTACTAGGCGCTCGTGTTATCAGTTAATAATTAATTACTCAATAGAGTAACCAGTAAGCGCCCTAGGTCATTAGTTGATATATGCTTGTGTTATTAATTAGATTTGGAAGCCCTGTCGTTTAATAACCGAGCATGCCGTAGTAAACAGGAGTTCAAGGAGAAATAAGTCTTGCTCTATTGGGATTATGCCTCTACCACGTAACCTCAGTATATATATGTGACTAATATAGAGGAGAAATAACACAGGTCTTATAGGAGGAGTCTTGTTTTTATTTTTTTTTCGCACTTAAAAAGATATTGAGCTTAAAAAGGTTATTAATTCCATGTTACTAACATAATGAGAATTACGTAGTTATTCTTTT